CGGCACACTAGTGTGCCGCGGCACAGTGGTTGAAAAACACTGGCTTATGACATAAAGGAAGCAAAACAGCTATAATAAAAAAGATTAAAAAGTATAAAAATAAACTCTGAATATGGCACCACCTATCTCCTGTCTACAATGCAGTCCTTTCAAGCAGTTCCAAGAAGATTCCACACCCATTTGCACCTCAGGTGATCCTAAGGTCACACACATAAATCCCCAAGTAGTCTCAACAGCTCTAAGAAAAAGTGCTAATCTGACTGCAAAGAAATATAATCTTTCCATTCCCATTCTCCCTTTGCTATCCTGTCAGAACTAATCCTTCCATTTCACCATCATCCAGCCAGAACTGATGAAGCTTCTTGGATGAGAAACAAAACATCATTTTTGCTTTCTTAAGGGAAAAAAAGCATAATCTAGTTGCCTTTTGAATGAAAAAGCACATTTGAAACAGTCTGCAGTATAGATAACAATAAGGTAAAATACAGAAATGAAATTGAATTAAATCAGGGTTTTTTTTTCCTTTGTAAAATAGGCAACAAGCATTGTAAATAAAGGTTTAGTTGTCTGTATTTTATTAATTAATTTAAAGCATTCGTAAATGCATTTATATTCTATAGATAATATTCATGTCAGGTTGAGAATAGTGTAAATTAAAAATAGTCAGATATATAATATAATATATAATAAACCAATAGGAAACTATAAGTAAATAACAGTTCAATTTCACAATTAAAATGGCAAGTCTGTAGCAAAGTAAAAGTTAAAACATATTGCATTTATTCTTTAAATATATAGTTACCCTTGGATTGAAAACAATGACCTTGTTTTCAATCCAGTTGTTATTAACTTACTTGCTTATATTAGATTTTTCTTATAAATTATATTGGCATATTAAAATTGTCCTTACTTTTTTTTTGAGTGATTGTGAAATCATTATATAGTGATAGATTTTAAAAATTAGTCTTGTTCCAACTTTAACTTTAGCTACATTGATAAGTCATCAGAAGAGATGCTTTTGACCAGCACTTCTAATTACTTTGCTTTAATATGCTCTTTAGCCTTAATGAGCAGAATAAAATGTCCCTATTCTTATCTTAGTTTGTCAAAGCATCTCTTCAAAGATTTGGCTTTAGTATTTTATGTTTTCTCCCTTGATTGCTCCAAGTTCTGACTAAATCACTGATCAGTTAATAGTTCACATAATGGATCCCCCAAAATGTAAGTTGTTAATTATTTTTTCAGTACAATGGCAATTTAATGTACCTCAACAGAGCATTTTGGTAATACCTGAAATAGCTTTGGACCTAGTTTAGAACTCTGAGAATTATTTTTGCTTACATAGCACTAGGCTTTTGAGAATATTGTGCACTTTGAAGTCACTAATGGATAAAGCTTTATGGACATCTTGGGTAGAAACTTGTGTAATATTAGTTTCATTGGCAGGTAAGAAAACTGGCACATGTACAGGACAAGTGACTTTTTAAACAACTTCCCGTGTATTAGTAGTACTGCTGGGAAATCAAATCTTTTCAAGGCTGCTAGGAGAATGAAACAAAAACTGAGATGTATGCATCTCATAAATCTGTGCTTCTGCTGTACCATTCTAGCTGTATGAGAGTGTTCATCAAAGCAGGATCCAGGCACATGGGATATATTCCGTAGATTAAGATTTGCTTATTTGTTACACTACACTAAAAATGCAGCTCAAAGTTGGGATAAATCTTGCAAGATAATTGTTTTTTGAGTATGTATGAATCACCTTTTTTCCAATAAATAAAGCAGCCACATCTTTTTCCAGATTCACACGATGGCTTCAGGAGTACCCCCTAGCCTGGAATGGAAACAGCTTAGAAGCATCTTCTGAGACAGTTCTATGAGCCTGAAGAAAGAGGCAACTGCTAAAACATTTGGAAAACAGGTGCTTTTTGCATGTCCTTGCATGTTTTTAAGCAGCTCTTTTAAGGAATTTCTCAAAACCTAGACTGTAATAAATAGAAACTTATCAGAAACCTATGTAGAATTCCTTCTTTCTGACATGAAACATGACATTTGGTTTCTTATTATGGTCCATTTGGTTTCTTAGTATGGTCCAGATAAGGTTTCTTTGACCTGTTGTATATGTTAAATTTTGCAATTAGACCCTTGGTTATCATATAGCTCTATTACTTTGATTCATGCTATATGTTTGTGGAACAGCATCCACGATATTTATAGCATTGTGCTGGGAATTTAGAAAATTCTTAGGAATGAACAGTACTGTAAAGCAAAACAAAGCAAAGCAAAGCAATGCAAAAAAAGGCCAGTGTCAATTGACTTTATACATTAAAAACATCATTTTCAGTCTATGAACCAGTAGTGAAACTGTTGAGAAAAACTTTCTATAATGCAATCATATGTAATTTCTATTTTCTTCAAAGACAATCCAACACTTTGAAAATATTACAATTCCAATGAAATATATCTTCCAAAATTAGCACATTAATGGACATAACCTGAAGGGAAGTGGACAACTAAATCCAAGAGAACATCTAGGTTCATCTAGATGAACATCTAGGCGCGAGTGATCGTGGGCGCACCTCGGTTCGCCCACATAACACCCATCCTCCGCGAGCTGCTCTGGCTACCTTTTGATCTCCGGGTGCGCTTCAAGGTCCTACTTACCACCCATAAAGCCCTTCATGG